TCCAGCTCAGTGAATAAACAACATTTTTTACTCTAGGTGGAAAAAACGCTTCTGAAGAAATAAGACTAAGCTGTGAAATAGGAACTAGCATGTTACACACAGTAGGTGCTCTCACTTTTTAAGGCATTCTAGCAGAGCAGTGTCTGCCCGTGTGCCCCCAAGACAACTGATATTTTTTTCACAGCGAGTATTTGTAGCTGTGCACATGGATGCCTTTACTTAAGTAGCTAACTATTGTAAATAAAACTTTTAAAGAAAAACAAACACAAGATGATTGCTCACATGAACTAATAGTACAGTTGATGGATTAATGCAAAAGGTACCTCTGATAGCTAATGAGCCCAAAATATAGAACTTCCAGATCTAGCAGCTGCTATACCCCTCTTAACAAGAGTTGCATTAAAAGCTGTAGGATAGAGCAGGAGATATATTTTACACAGTTTTACAGACATAGCTCAAGGGTACTCTAACTTGAAAATCCTACCTCTTCCGCTATTCCAACTAGTCTCTTAATTTCAAAGACTTAAGAAGCTACTGGAAATATATAACCTTGTAAAAAGTTAAATAATACATTAACTGAGTTTATTTTAAAAAGCTGATTTAAAAAAGCTTAATACATACATTTAAAAGCCACCTGAAGAATTACTTTGAAGAGAAAAACGTTACACATGTTCAAATTTTTGCTATTTTTAATATATCACAAAGAAAAAAATGTTAAAGGCCAAGTTGAAAACAAAAGGCATTGAAAATGCATTGTTCTTCTTTGCACATGTAAATTAGGCAAAAAACATTTCACACAATCTGTTCAAAGGAAATTTGCTGAGTGAACATACACCTTTTACAGTACTTGTTTTACTAGGAGTAAATGTAAAATAATGAAGCAGAACACATACACTTATCAAAACCAAGGAAAATAATTAACAAGGTGCTGTTTTTCCTTTGGTGTTTTTTCCTCCTAATTTGGAGGAAAAAGACAAAAAGAGACTAACATTCATCAAGTACCTGCTCTTCCCCTCCTTAACTGTTCCAAAATTTAAGTTAAGGGCTAGTGGTTTATGCCCTTGGTTCAATTTTCCATTATTCCTCAACTACATACTAAGCAGCTGTTAAAAAGAATTTAACTGCAGGATCACAATTCTTCAACAGTAATTTCGGAAACGCTAAAGTTCTAACACTTTTCCTTATAGCCAATTCAGCCTATGTTAATTAAAAAGAAATTAGATTTATAAGTTATTTCTGTGTTCATGGGAGAGCTTATTCAATATAAATTTAAAAAAGATAACAGCATGAGAAAATACTTAAAAGTTCTTTCTTTAACTGAATTGTGCTTTCTGTGTTTTCTTACATCACGAAACCAAAGGCTATAGGAGGACCATCAAACAAGACATTTCCACAATATGCACGCAACCTACTAACTCAATGTCAAAGATCACATTTACAATATGCTATTATTTAGAAATGTGCTCTCCCTATTTTTTATATTAGATACCACTTAAAACCAGAACATCTTCCCATCAGTCTTACACCTCTCCTTAATGCTATTTGCCACTAATGGTGGAACATCAGAAAAGAAACAAAGGGAAAGTCTTTAAGTCCAGTCACACTTTTATTTTCGGTACTATGTCCATAACAATGGAGTGTATTAAGATGTGTAATTCCACACGTGACTGTTTTGTACTGGAAGAGACCTTGACTGGTCGTAAGTATTCTAGAGAACCCACATTTTGCTCTGCCTTACTACTGGGATTCAAAGCTCACCTTTTCTGATACAGTTGCCTACATTGCCAATAGCAGCTCTTGCTGGTACACTTTACAGATATTCCTGTGCTGTAAAGGGCTTTTTCCTGTATGTACCCTCTAAACTTGAGCAACTCCTGCTATGTGGGGAAAAAAGAGCACTATCTCAGTTTTGTCCTCAGTGCTACACAGATGAAAGTTCAATAGTTCACATACAAACCTACTCAAGAGTAGCTGTCTTTAAGGGAAACGACAAGTGGATTCATCCATAAGAGTACGACCACATTCTCAAAGCATTGCTTGAGATGCAAACTGTTAAATAAAGCAGCTTGAAACTACTAAGACCTACTTTGCTGCCACATAATTTTCTTCTAGTTCCTTTCTGCCAAGTTTTCTGTTGGTCTGCTCTGTAATATCAAGAGGTGCAACATACACTTTTTCTTTTTCCTTTAATTCTGACAGAAGGTATCTTTTCCTAAATAAACAGAACTAGCTTGCCACACTGCTATCTGGCCCTGTTCATATGTGGAGTACACTTAATTAAGAAAGGGCAAAAACTCAGAGGAAGCAATGAGTATTTAAAGATACAAATAACATGGAGAAAGAAAAGCTTTAGCATGCTCTGTCATTTAAATGTGTTAGTGGAAACACATTTATAGACAAAGAATCTTTGAAACCTAAGTGTGAAACTGCTAAAGATCTCTGAACCTAACTTGAAAAACAAACTGAAGCTGCATCAGTGCACTAGGTTGATCAAGTGTACTTAATTTTTCTCCAGTATTCAAACAATGTATTAGCAGCAAAAAAGGCAAACAAGTTCACACATCTATTATTAACATTTTAGAGACAAATCTTAAGCTATCCAAAAAGCCATAAAGGCAATTTTCCTGCACTACCACTGCACACCACACTATTCGTTACGCTTAGGTACAACAGATTATACACTTGAAAGACATAATTTCCTAAGAAACACATTATAGATGCTACCAGTAATAACGAACATCATTAGAAATTTAGTGAAACTAACACTAATTAGATGATTAAGCTGGCAGTATGGCTTCTAGTAGCTAACTGATATAAAACCCTTATATTAAGCTCTAATTGTACCTATCAGGGAAAAGGTTGCAAGGAGAAGTGCAGATACTGGCCAAGCTGAAGAAGCCAGGTAAAAGCAAGCTGCTTGACATATACAGCAACACACATTTGAGAAGCATTAAATACCTTAAAAAAAAAACAACTGTTCTGCAATAAAATTTAGGTTTTAAAAACTGCCCCACCTCTCAGTGTAAGAAATATATTTGCTTACAAAGTTAAGTTTTCCCTTTTGAAATTGCAGAATGTTTTACATTATCTGCATTACTTATCTACGCTTGCATTATCGATATAATTTCTCTATTTCACATTTTCCTATCAACATCTTTGATGCCAATCTGAATTCCAGAGTTATCAACGTTGAACTTGTTTAATTAAGTCTACTAAAAATGGAGAATGAACATAGTCATAATCTGAATAAGGAGACCTCTATCTGGAAAATAACACCCTATGCATAGATATGATGTGAAACACAGCACTGGAGGCTCTACTCCTCATTGCATCATGAAGAGTCATGTATCCGAGCTGAGAAGTAAAACTGAATATAGTAAAATATAAACTGTAGTTTTAAATAAGCTTTGCAAGATTTATCAGATGCAGATGAAAGTTAGAAAGAGTCTGAAGCAATGCATTTCCTTCTCCTGTGACTCTAGAGAGCAATTTGCATGGACTGAAGTTCATCGCTTAACATTTTCCCCTTCTTTGATGCAGTGAGAGTAGTCAGACACTTCACATTTTACAGTAGTGCCTGCAAGCACACAGATAGCATCCAAAACCTTAAAGCTGTATACATACGTTCTCTGAAAAATAGCGTTAAAAGCATACCATTCAAGTAACATTTCTGCCTCAAACAATGTTTGCTTAAAAACTTCAAGTAGCACTTTTCCTCCGTTTTTCAACTTACTCATAGTACTTGGTGTATACACACTTTTATTATCTTGCCTAGTTGACAATCGAAGTTAGTAATTTTCCAGTTTATGTGGTTCAGCAATAAGGAAAGGGAGAACACTAAAAATAGGAAAATGTGATTCTAAAACCACAAAAAGTGGTAACAAGGACTCAGACAAGGAGTACCCAAAATAACTTCAACTCATATTTTGGAATTAATTAGATACAAAATTTCCATTTGGGCTTAGATTTCACATGCAGGAAAAATAAGGAAGAACTTAAGTGACAACCAGTCAAAGCTCCTCCATGTCTCCGCCAACTGGGGATCATAGCTTCTACAACGGTATTTTCCGTATTAAAGTTACCTAGTTTTCCAAGATTTTCCATTTTAAACATGAATTCTACCAGGGATTCTGACAGTAGGCTTTTAAGTTTAATAGCCATTTCAAGTGTCACACGTATAACAGAAGAGAGGAACCCGGATTTTATGCATTTGTAACTGTCTGCTCTGGAGACAGAAATACTAGTTTTATGAAAGAATACTGAAGCTGAGACGATGAAAAGCACACAGTATTTTGTCACCCAAGAACAAACCAGTTCAGGTGCAAATAGAGGCACACAAGTAGTGGGTGGGTGGCATTTCTGTTGGTATATGTGTGGCATAATATGCTACACTATGCAACCAATATGTTGAATCACAGAAAAAAAAAAAGAAAAAACCCACTATGATACTGCAGAAATAAATCCAGAGATAAAGTAGGTATTGATAACACGAATTTCACTGGGAAGGAACAATAGTATTTGTAGCAAAAGATTCAGAATACATAGACATGATAAAATAATTTTGTGTTTTAAGCTTGCATTTTTGCACCTTCCTGACTTTCACCTTTTAACTTCACCTCTGAATTTTTACATGTGTTTCCTATTAGCATTCAAGCTCCTTTTCATCAGTAACCAACATATTTTTAACTGTTTCTTTTGCTCCCACAAGTTCATGGGAGCTCCTACAAGTTTTGCTCCTACAAGTCTTACTAGTTTCTAACACTGAAATGCATTGGTTTACAACTGCAAAACACTACTGTCTCAGCCTTCCCAAGAGCTTTGCTTTGAATATTCAAGTGCAAACTTGAGGCAGGACTTAAGTGTTTAAATTGACATGCAACAGCATTACCACAGCATTCATCCTTAAAACTTAACAGGATTTAAAAAAAATGTGACTCCAGCCATGCCTTCCTGGCGCTCCAGTAATCAGATCTGAGAATACCGCAAGCTCTTCACTTTACCTTCTAAAGCCAACGAGAAAACCAAGTGATGGTTGATCTTTACCACAACTTGAAAGGACTCATAGAAGGCCACTATAAGAACAAGCGGAGACTGCTTCCCCGGCATCTCTGGTTCTTCTGGAATTTCAAAGTTCTAAAAAGGACATAGTGATTCTTAGTATTGTCTAAGCTCACTTAGCTTCCAAGCAAAACACTCAACTTTCATATACAATATAGTCAACAACGAAAATGATTGACTTTGTATTAGTTTACACTTTGCCCAAAAGAAGAAAAACAAACTAGGACCATAAAAGAAAAAGCCTGGAGTGTCACTTTTTCCAGTGTAGGTGTACAGTATGTATGAGGAGAATCTCAAAAAGTATTTCAAAGGATTCTAAAAAGCTTTTCATTGCTGGTGACACATTTTTCCCTGAAATAAGCCACTTCCTTTCTAAAACCCACGCAGTACCTCAGTGTCAAGAATCAGAAACTTCTCAAAGTCTGTGTATATATTTTTCTTACACAAAACACAGAAGTCTTAGATCCTCATTACTTTCCACTATATCACCAGTCATGTCTGATTTCAAACATTTCCATTCAGTGAAGAACACATTCTTTTTGTCACTGACTGAATATACGCCACATATGAGCATCAGTAAGTGCAAGAGGCTCTCATCACCACAGCAGGCACTTCAGAAGTGTCACACTACTGAAAACTTAGCAGAGCCAACTAAAGTCGGTGACAAAAATCTCATCTGAGCTACCGGCGTATAAATAAAGGATTTTCAAATGTGTGAAATCAAAGTATTAGAGTCTACTATAATAAATGGAAGTAAAACCTGGGGGATTCTAAGGTAATGAAAATATATTGTACATCACCATTAAACTTGAGAATGTCTGTTCCTCCAGGATTTGTTTGGAATTCTACCTATAAATCAAGTCCAAAAGTATCAGTTTGTTTGTTTGTTTTCATTTAAGACTCCTAACTTCACTTATAGTAGTTATATATTAAATATATTATATATTAAAGCACAATAATCTTCACTGTGACACTTTGCACTAGGAAGAAGCAGTACTATGGTGCCATCTGTAGCATAAAACGACAGAAGATGAGCAAGTATTTGTCCACAGACTGAGAAAGGCCCATCGTTCCAAACCAGAAATAAACCTTGCTGCATTAAATTAACAGAAAAAGCTAATTGTATTAAGCCACACTGTGGTGATGTTTATGCATGATGTTTATTTGTTACTGGTATAAAGCAAAAATGAAGAAAGACATTTATACAGGAGAGGCAAAAAAGGGAATTTGAGAAAACTGAAAGATAAACAACGTTAACAAGATGCAAGCTAAGCACTTACTAACTTTAGTTGTGGCATGTATTCCTCAAACTGCTCACTCTACTTTAACAGATACATCAAAAACCTGAAAATATGAAGTATTAATAAAAATCTTAAATCCAAAATAAATGCCCATCAAGAAATAACCTGCTTCTCTATTAACAGCTAAAAGCACAGTATCATAGTGCAGTATTTAGAAAGCCAGACTTAAGCCTGTGCTCTATTCCTGTATTATATGGCATATCATGAGTAAGGCTTTTCAATTTCCTGTGCCTTTCTCTCAGTTTTGACTCTTTACTGTGAAGCTCATTTCTTATTAAATATTTATATATATGTCCCTATAAAGGCCCTGTTCTTGGTGCTATTTCTGGGAAATTACCATAAAACAAAATAGCCAGTGGCCCCACAAAGATAAACTATGGGAAAGGCTTCATTCAAAAAGGACTAGATTCCCTGCTACCTCAACAACAATCAAACTAAACATGATCAGTTCACAGTAGCTTTTATTTCCGGAAAGGCTGCACATTTACAGACACCTGACCTCCTTCTTGCTCACACATCACTAAAATCAAAAATCTCAAGTGTCATAAAGTGGTTAACAATTCCGTTAATGGTGTCTGAAGTGGAATAGAATCTAGCTCATTCACCAGTATCTGTATTTGTTCTGCAATAACAACACAGGCAGAAAGAAATGAAAAAATGTAGTTTAGCTAGAAAAAAGCAAGCAAAAATGAAATGAATATGCACAGAATACAGATCCTTCTGACTAAGAGGGTACCATGATTACATAAATACTTTTTAAGAAATTTGAACTTTAAGAAAGCTTTCTCAGAGAATCCACAAATATCTGCTACATTTCATGAAACAAAAGTCCTTGCTTCTCTTGACCACAGTGAATGAAAACATTACAACAGTGCGTTTCCAATTGCAATCTCTAAATATGCACTTGGTGAGACAGAAGCAAAAGATGCCTGAGAAATGCTACATATATCAAGAACATATGTCACCAGTTAAAAAGGAAACTATATTAAAAATTTCATTCTTTGATTTTATGGACAAAAAGACTCAAAATAACCAAACAAAATATTAAAATTACATCACTTTTCCACAGCTATCGCCTCCATACACTGACATAACGATGAGTAACTACTTCACAAGCAACTCTTCTCTAAAAATCTTCATATTCTCAGTATAAAAAGATAAGACAATTTTTACTGTCTTCGTAAGTCTGTAATTCTTTAATTGTTCATGAGTTCTCTTTCAAACTCCATCATTTTAATCTCCGAAGACTACAACCTCTTTACAGGTTCTAGCCATCTTCTGGTCATTTTATATTATTCTATGATTCTATTACCAGAAAGTTGTAGAGAGGGGCAGTGGGTTTTTAAAGCAATCCTTCCAAAGCTAATTATCCAAATCAATTACATAACTAACGAGTCATTTTTAAATGTAAAGTGTCTATAAGCAGATAAAGAACACTTCCATGACAACACAGATCAGAAACCCATGAACCATTTAGTGAGAATCATTCATCTCAACCATCACCTAAAATCACAAACTGCAGTTAGCTTTTGGCAGAAATGTATACTTCAATAAACAGTCTGCATAAAGGAGCACCTGGCTGGATAGGACAGCAGTACCAAAACAGAGACCCATACTCACTGAACCGCACTAAGACAGCAATCGGGGAAGAATAGCTTGCTTTGACAAATAAATCACCTTTGACTTCCATTTTTGTTTTATCACAGTTTTCCAGTACAGACTAAACACACACAAAAAACCCTCACATTTCTCTTACTTCCCTACAGAAAATCCCGTAAACTCAAAACCATTAGCAGACACAGAAATATAGCTAACTAGGACTAATGACATTTCCTCATCATCTAAACAGAAGTTTGGACACAGCAAATTGAAGATAAAACCTACTTAAAAGTTCATCAGCTGCCTACACTTCACACAAACCAAAAAAAGGATAGAAAACTTATCCATAAATATTCAACTCAATTTCCAAAGAAATAAAAAAAGCAGAGAAGTATCCCCTTTCAGCACTTCAGGAAGTTTATTTTTATGCAGGAATTACAACGTGATGAAATTTTTGCTTTTTTTTTTTCTTCCATCCACAATTCATAATCAACTTTTAATACAAAAATGTTTTAAGAACTTTGAAAAGCTGAACACTTAGAGATGTGAACAATTGTGCGTATAACCCTAAACTACTGCCCTTGTACAAAGGCACTGTAATGAACTATATACATTTCATAAAGCCAACCTATAACCTATCTTTCTACTGAAAATCGTATCTGAATGATATTAGATGAAACAGAGCAACACACAAAATTGCAAAGACTACCTCACTGCACCAGTTAGTCTCTTATAAATACGATTTTGAATATTATTGTGCAACAGTTCCAGAAATTCATGTAGCTTGCTGCCTCTGAAGTTTAAGATCCGAAGAATTGTCTGAACAATTCACTGAGAAATTACTCATACAGTTATTGCTGAATAAAAAGTAAAAACCAGGTACGTGAAGTTTTAATCCTATGGTTGCTTTTTTAAAATTTGAAGCTAAGGCTCTTAACACTGTAATCTTTTCTCAGAACAAAGGTGTTTCTCTTGTAATTAAAATACAGTTAAATATAAGTACATTAAACTACATCCCAAAGGGTACAAAGCATCAGTGGTTTTTGATATCCCAATGGGGGCTGTTGTTTTTCTACTCTTCTCATACTTCAACTTTCAGTTTACCCTGGTCTTCCAAAACAAGTTCAGGTAGAAATTAGCTAGAAAAAGGAAATCTAGAACAGGAAAATAGAATGGGTATTTAGAGACATTTTAATAAATCAGCTGGAGTAGCTCTAATTTCTACTGCAACAAAGATCTTGAAAACTAACCTCAGATAGTTGCGTTTTTCTTATTTCACTTATCCCCCTTTCTTCTTAACATCCAAATAATGTTCAAAAAATGCTATCAAAATGATCTCAAAAAAAAAAAATTTACAAACTCATTTTTAACCAAAAAGCAAACTGGAACCTCAGTATGGTATCTGGAGACACACTAATACATGCCATTTTTTGCCTTACTTTCTCCAGAGGAATCTTCCATGAAATTAATTATGCCCACGCAAACCTAGACAAGAACTGGAGCCTGTTTCGACAGTAGATAGAGTCATTACAGAACTCTGAATCACAACTATTTGTATCAGGTAAATTAACAAGACATTTTAATTGAGTCTTTCCTTTAAGAATATGCATTTTATTTAGGTACATAAACCTAAAAGTTAGTTTTGTATTAAAAATACTCAGCAATCACTTAAAAATTACATACAAAATAAAATTAATGTACAAAATACCTTAAGACTACAGTCTGAATACCAGAAGCAGCATCTCGACATAGTTTAATAATCTTTATGTCCACATGCAAACACAGAAACAAGTATTTTGCAATGTTAATATGTGTAATCTAAAACAAATAAGACAATTAACTATTAGACATAGATACACATTAGCTGCAAAAGGGGGGAAAAGTTATATATGCACAGCAATAAAATGAGCTCACTGTGTTAAGCATAAAATAGACAGATTTAGTTAACAAGAATTCTGACATTCATTAGGCAGAAACACTTCAGTGCAAAGGTCAAACACACACTTGTTATACAAAACTGCCATATCCCATAATATCATGCAGTATTCTAAGACAATTAAACCTGTCACTGATGACACAAAGCTGGTTCTCAGTATGGAAATTAAGGAATAATTCAGGAAACTATTAAAAGATCTGTTTCATTTTAAAAATAAATATCATAACACATTACCTTTT